TTTTATTTTACAAAATAATATAATATAATAATAGTTAATATATATATATATAATATAATACAATATGTATATATACATATATATATATAATATATATATATAATATATATATTATTATACATGAGTTGACATATATCATAAAATGTTTTGGTTAAAGTTCAGCCAACATTTTTTATAGTGAAAATAAATATAATAAATAAAATATAATTTCATTGATGAAAACATGACTAATTTGTTAAGTCATAGAATTAAGAATATAATCCTAACTGATAAAAATAATAAAAGAAATTATCATTTCAAAATTATTAATAATAAAAGTAATAAAAATATATTATAATCAGTCTCTTTATTCTTGTCATTCAGACAAATTTAACCTACTTATGTGAAGACATGTAATTATATTTTAAATATAAATTATATTTATTAACAAAAGTTTTTGAATATAATTTTTTAATGTGATTTTATAAAGATTTAAGAATTTATAATTGTTTATAATTCAATTTAATGAAAAAAAAATATAATTTTTTCAATGGTTATAATTATAAAATTCTATGAAAATGATATAATGATATAAAATATATATCAAGAATCAAAATATTGGTTTTAATAAACAAAAAATGTTTAATAATTTTATTTATTATTAAATGTGCACATCATTTTCTAATATATATGTATTACTTTATTAATTTTGCCCTACTAACAATTCTGTTTTACCGACGAACTGCAAACAGCAAAACATATCATGGCTGAATATGGTGGTTTTGTGATGAACAATATCTTGAGTTGTGTTAATAAATTTTATGCTATAAAAAAAAATTAATAGTGGAATTTGTGACACAATTGTGAATAAATTTTGTACAGTGCTCTTTATATCTATAGTATTTCATAGCATTCATTATATGTTATAAAAAAGTATATGATAATTGGAACAGAAGACATTATTACTCTCTATCTCTATTAGTAGAAATTATAATATCTTACCATCTTTATAACATATTGTTATAAATAATTGTGTAATTACAATAGCTCATATCAAAGTCATATTTCTATTTATGAATTTTCAAGTATCAATTTGATGTTTATGGATTTTATGTGTAAGATACTCTGAATTCTGTGATACGTAATAAGTAAAGTCTGATGCCAAAGCTACGAAAGAATAGGAGAATTGAAACTAGATGGGGTGTCAAATATTATACAGCAGTGAAAAATGCTGTTTTTATAACACATAAACAGCCTTATGTGCCAACAGTACCACCCCCCTCTTTGAAGGAACATGTTCCAGAATGTGAGACACTATATATGTGTACACAGTGCAAAGACTGGTGAGTTTATTGATACATTTATTATTTAATATATTTTTTCTTTTATAAATACAATTATATAAAACTGATGTATACGAAGCAATAAATTATAATTAATTTAATTTAATTCATAATAAAATTAATTATTAATAAGAAATAAAAATTTAACATAGAAATTTCGTTTTCTATTAGCTTTCATTTTCGAAGCAGTTTGGAAGATCATATTGCAAGGAAAAGTTGGATATTGGGATATTGGTGTCAACATTGTTTTGTGACCGATTGTAAACATAGTTCTATAGAAGGTACATTATGTTCAACATGTGTGCAATCAGATCGTGAGAAACGTTTATATTTAAGAAGTAGAGGTTTACGTAAAAGTCAAAAATTTGGGGTAATAAGAATCTTTTACAATCAATGTCAATTTTTTGCACATTTGAAAACCCATAATGTAAATTTGGTATACATGGGTGATTTAATGTTAATGCCTATACCAACAAATATAAATGATTGGAATCCTGAAATAGATGTAACTTGTGAAGCACTCATGGAGCATACATTTATAATAAAAGTTCATATAATGGATTGGTTAAAAGATAAAACCATTACTAACAATTGGTGGCAATTAGGAGGAGATAGCAATAATCCAATTACTCTTATTCTTAAAGGTTATAAAGGTCGGTTTCATTTTAAGCCATTAGAAGTACCAATAGATGAACAGTTTTCTATTTTGAATTCTGTTCATTCTACATCTAAAAATAGTAACATGTATTCCGATATTGAAATACTTGATTCTGTTGAAAATGTTGATAAAAGGGCGAGCCCATCTTCTACAGATACCATAGTCTCCATCTCCGATGAAAGTGTGATCGAAAATGAAGACAGTCCTTGCACGATAAACGATATTACTTTTGTTGACTGTGGGCCTACATCAAAGTGTTTTGAACCTGAAATTCCATTAAATACTAAGAAAAAAAGAAATATAACAGTTTCCGTAAAATCAATGCAAGATTCCGCTACTCTTCAATCTTCAAATATGGTTACTAATAAATTTAAAAGGAATAAAATAACACAATTAAATTGTATTTCACCCAATATGGTTATGTCTTATGGCAATACTATGATAACACCTAAACGCGATGTTAAAGATTTATCAAAATATCCTACTAATAAACAATCTTCATCGAAGAATCTAACGCATAAATCTAATAATAGTACACCGATTAAAATAATCACAGAAAGCAATATCGTAGAAATAGACTCCGACAAAAAGATGAATAAAACACTTCTCAATAATTTATTAATAGTAGAACCATTATCTAAACTGCAATCTGAGCCATCTCGTGCAACAAAAACGGATACATGCAAAAATAAGTTAGATAAATTTAAACAAAATGTACATTCATTAACCGTCAATTCTGGTCAAAAAGTTGTCACGTTTCAAAGCAAAAAGCACGTTGATATCAATACAATTATTAATCAATTACCGTCTCACATAATTAACAACAAAAAGATTGTTTTTATAGGACAAACTTCTGATAATGCAACTATTCATAATAATAAAGAGTCACACTCTAAAACAGTAGTTCACTTAGTACCTGATGACAATGAGAAATTGTTAGAAATGAAAAAAAATCTAGAAAATGAGAAACTTTTGCAAATTAACAAAGATTACAATAAAAATATTTCTAAATCGAAAAATCAAAGTGAGGCCAATAAAAGCAAAGGACGAGCTTTATCGAACAAAATTGTATATCAAAATGGGCGGAAATATATTATTAAACAATCATCAGGTTCCGCTAAAAATTTAAAAAATACGTCCAAGGGAGTAGCGGCGATAAAAGATGGAGGAGGAACGATGCAATCAAAATCTACAAATGGTATTCCACCATTGATACCCTTAAATTCCACTGAAATAGAAAATATATCAAATCAGGAAAAAATAAATTCATTTAATAGTGATATTTCCCCTTTAACACCTTCACCATCTCCGTCGGAATTATCAAGTAGTTCGAGTTGCGATGTTAATTCCAAACAATCCTCTTCGTCGGTGAAATGTTCTCAAAAGGCCGATGTATCTTTCTTAAATATTGAACATAAAGATATTGGCATTGATGTACAAAATACGAACAATTCGTTTGAAAGTTTATCATTCCATAAAGGAGAGGATCAAAACTTGTATCTCGATGTAAAATTTCTTAACCAGAAGCCAATTTATACTATTGTTGACACATCCACGATGATAACGAAATGTAAAGAAGAAATGTTAAATGAATTTTTTCATCTTCCTTATTTCGAACTAAAGAAACGTTATGATCATTTACAAGAAATTGGGGAAGAAATATCGAGAGTGATGAATTTCGTAACCGACAATGTGATCAAAGAAAATTTGAAAGCCGTTCACATCTTGCAAACCGTGTTGAAACATTGCATTGATAAGTGCACCGAAACGAGCGATGAAACAGAGGAAAAAGATATACCATTGAACGAATGGGAATCAGAGTATCGACAAACGAACGAAAAACCTATTTGCAAAGCGTGTAATAAAATTACAAAACCCAAGTATTATGTTCCAGGATTCTCGAAACCTGCGGAAAACGATATTTATTGTTCTTGTTACAGGCACGTGTGTCACAAATGTCAAACTTACCAAGGTAATTCAACGCGTTTCGTAGCTCATCAAACATTTCACGATAAAGAAAAACCGTATTTATGCCCCGATTGTTATCGTAAATTTACGACATTTAAATCGTTAGAGGTTCATACGTGGACCACTTGTTTTCATACGCTGAAAAAACGTGTCCTCGGTTGCAAGGTTTGCGAAATAGATGGTTTTCAAGATATGGAATCTGTCGCTAAACATTTTGCTATTATGCACAGTCACAATAAAATAGTTTGCGATAAATGTTACATCGTTTTGCCCTCCTACTCCGAATACATAAAACATCATAAAGATAAACATTTGGATGGGGATGATTATCATCCTATAAGGCTGGTATTGTGCAAAATTGGACGATGCATCGTACGTTGCGAAGATTACATGTTGCACATGGAGAAGCATCTAGTCGTGCAAAGATTAATATGGTTTAAATGTCCATTCTGTATGTTTATTCACGTAGAACCGAAACGAATTATGTCTCATTTGCAAAGTGGGCACGTAACGCGTTTAAAGGAACTTATAAGTCACGAGGTGTTGTTGAACGTTTTGCAAGTAGAAAACGCGGCAAATTTGTTGAAGAGTAATTTGCAACAGAATAAATTCACGAACGCAAACGCGGAATCTTGCGAGGACGGGACTGTTATGCCTAAGATTATAAATGCTAGGACTATCACGTCTGAGGTATTTGAAAATGGAACGACTCAAGGAACGAACGATCAAATGATAAATGACGACATTGCTCCCCAATGTTCCAAAATTGTTAATTCAGAATTTTCTGTTTCAAAATTGAGCAAAACTATACCGAAGATACTCGATGTCAGATCGATGGCCGATTCGGTATCGGATAATTCGAAACACGAGGAAGCTGAGATAATTGCAACAAAATTTACAAAAATGAACGAGGGAAACGAAGAAATGGAACAAAACAAAATAATCAAAAGGATCGAAAATTCGAGGACGGAAATTACATTGGAAGAAAATGCAACAACTACGATAAAAATAGAATCCAAAGAAAATAATAGCGATTACATACGGGATAATAAATCGATTTCAGATATATTGGACGTTGACTCGTTTCAACGAGATATCGTTCCGAAAATGATCAAAATGCAAAGTACAAATGACACTTTGAAAAAAGAAATATCACGCGAAAAGGATAAAATGAAATCAATCGAAGTAGAGACGAGAGAGAACGAAACCCAAGTTCAAAAACAATGCGATGAATCAATCTTGAAACCTCCTCCGCTTGCTAGAATTCCTTCACACGTATTCGAATCGAATCGATCCAAGAAGATCGGACAGTCGACCAAAGGAGGAAAAGCGACCGTGTTTTTGCGCAATCCGAAAATTCCTCGACGAATTGCTCTAAACTGTCCAACCAACTTGAACGAGATATTCAATTTTTCGTGCCATTTATGCGGAGAATTAATAAATACATCAAAATCTATTATAAGTAATCACTTTCAGAATAAACATTCGCAAGAGTGTAAATTATCGACGATCACTACAAATTTGTTACGTATATCGCCAGAATTCATTAACGGAGGTTACAAGGAATTGTTGGATAACAAGAAACGCAAATCGGACAATTCCATATCGAATGCGAAAAGAAGACGACGATGGAATCCAAAAAAATATACCGACGGGAAACACGCAAATTTTACCGGACTTGGACTGTGCGTGAAACAAGTAACGGCCGAAGATAGCGAGGGTAATTTTAGATGTAAAAAATGTGATCAACGTTGCTCGAATATGGCAAATTTGAGAGAGCATATCGCTTCTAATCATAGAATAAAAGGCCGATATTTGGTTTGTTTGGAATGTGGGGATAATTTTGTGGTTGCGCCTAGCCTGCAAATGCATCTGAAAGCGTTTCATGGGATAGAGGATCCTATCACGTACATGGCGCAAAATACGTTATACGCCCCTGATAACGTCGATGATCTTGAAACTGGAGGGAAGTCCATCGAAGCGAATCAATGCCACGTTTGTATGGCAGTTTTCGAGGATAAGGCAGCTGTGGATAAACATCTTCGAGTGCATGGAATGGCATTTTTAAATCGTAAAAGGATAGAAGCGCAAAATGCTTTGAAAAGTCCGGAGAAGAAAGGTGAATTGGAGGAAGAAAAATATACGCCGATTAAACCAAGTCCAAAAGAGCTCGTTCGGAAGGATAAACCAGCGGAAACTATATTAGAAAAAATTACTGTAAGTCGAGTACGAACGTAAGATTGTATATTTATTTCAATCATTCATAAAGCATCGATCTTAATCGTTTTTCATTTCAGGCAACAATATAGCTAATGGAGGCACGATTTTCAAAAACGGTGTCGATCGAAAAGTAATACACGTATTTAATAATTTCTAGTTTTTAATGAATATGATCGTGAATCTGTGATTTTAATGTTTTGTTTAAGCAATGAAAAAAAAAAAAACGTTTCCTCTTTTTATAGTAAAAAATAACAAAAAGTATAATGTTGTTAGTCATTATAGTATAGTATGTCAAAAAAAAAAAAAAAAAATGTAACTTTGATTAATGCTCAGCTCGGTATATACCTATTAACACATTGCGTTCCAAAATTCTTTTTTTTATTATTAGATTTATCGCATTATAGCTCTATTATTTTAATAGTAATAATAATAGTTATATATATATGCTTATATAAACCAAACGCAATGTGTTAATTTGCTTAGATAACATGGAATAGAACATCTTTGTAAATATATACAAACAATTGTAGACAAATGTATAATTTATTTTGTTAGAATTTCTTTGTTAACGCGTATTCAAATAATTGAGTTATTCTATTATATGTACATCGTTAAAATTTGTTTTTTCTTAACTTTACGCAAATCTTGCAGCCTAACTATTCTTCAAAGTTTCATATTCCATCATAAATAATTGTATATCTATTACATCCTTCGTATGTATGAAATCCTGTACTTGCAATTGCAATATGATGTAAATAATTGCCTTGTTTTGAAAAAAATATAACTTTTTGTACTCTACTAATTCATATGCATCGTTATATCTAAAAATAGATAAAAATAAAATATTCTGATTTACTTTCAAAAAACTTCTACTTATCCTTGATATATAGAATATGGAAATGATGTATTTTACACAGTAAGATAGATTATTAATTGCACCGACAAACATTATTGCTTAGCGATAAAATTGTAGTAATTCAATGATTGACACATCGAGATACTCGAGGTATG